TGGATGTCTCCGTCCCCAAATTGGAGGGCGACCTGAAAGGTCCGGATGTGAACATTAAAGGTCCAAAGGTGGATGTGGACGTTCCTGACGTGGACGTTGAAGGTCCCGAGGGGAAGTGGAAGGGACCCAAGATCAAGATGCCGGAGATGAACATCAAGGCGCCGAAATTTTCTCTGCCTGATGTTGACCTGAACCTGAAAGGTCCCAAAGTGAAGGGAGAAGTGGACGTGTCTGCCCCAAAAGTAGAAGGTGACGTGAAAGTGCCGGATCTGGAGTTGAAAGGACCCAAAGTGGACGTGGATGTCCCTGACATCGAACTGGAGGGCCCTGAGGGGAAGATCAAAGGTCCCAAGTTCAAGATGCCTGAGATGCACTTCAAGGCCCCCAAGATCTCCATGCCCGACTTTGACCTGAACCTCAAAGGCCCCAAAGTGAAGGGAGACGTGGACGTGTCCGTCCCAAAAATTGAGGGAGATTTGAAAGCCCCAGATGTTGACATCAAAGGCCCCAAAGTCGATGTGGACCTCCCCGACGTCGAGCTGGAGTGTCCCGAAGCGAAGCTGAAGGGCCCCAAGTTCAAGATGCCCGAGATGCACTTCAAAACCCCCAAAATCTCCATGCCCGACATCGACCTCAACCTGAAAGGCCCAAAACTGAAGGGGGACGTGGACATTTCCACCCCCAAACTGGAAGGTGACGTGAAGGGCCCAGACGTGGATATCAAAGGTCCCAAGGTGGACATTGAAGCTCCTGATGTGGACATCGATCTCCCAGAGGGGAAGGTGAAGGGCCCCAAGTTCAAGATGCCCGAGATGCACTTCAAAGCCCCCAAGATCTCCATGCCCGACTTTGATCTCAACCTGAAGGGCCCCAAGGTCAAAGGTGACGTCGATGTGTCCGTGCCAAAGCTCGAAGGGGACGTGAAAGGGCCGGAGGTGTCACTGAAAGGTCCAAAAGTGGACGTGGAGGTTCCCGACGTGGAGCTGGAGTGTCCCGAGGGGAAGATCAAAGGTCCCAAGTTCAAGATGCCCGAGATGCACTTCAAGGCTCCCAAGATCTCCATGCCCGACTTTGATCTCCACCTGAAGGGCCCCAAGGTCAAGGGGGACGTTGATGTCTCTGCTCCAAAGCTGGAAGGGGACCTGAAAGGGCCTGAACTGGACATCAAAGGCCCCAAAGTTGATGTCGACCTTCCCGACGTTGACCTCGAGTGTCCTGAGGGGAAACTGAAGGGCCCCAAGTTCAAGATGCCCGAGATGCACTTCAAAGCCCCCAAGATCTCCATGCCCGACATCGACCTCAACCTGAAGGGCCCCAAAGTGAAGGGCGACGTCGATGTCTCTGCTCCAAAGCTTGAGGGAGACCTGAAAGCCCCAGACATTGACATCAAAGCTCCCAAGGTCAATGTGGACCTCCCCGACGTCGAGCTGGAGTGTCCCGAGGGGAAGATCAAAGGTCCCAAGTTCAAGATGCCCGAGATGCACATCAAGGCCCCCAAGATCTCCATGCCCGACTTCGATCTGAACCTGAAGGGCCCCAAGGTCAAGGGGGACGTCGATGTCTCCGTCCCCAAGCTGGAAGGGGACCTGAAGGGGCCTGACCTGGACATCAAAGG